AAGCTCTCGCGCGATTGCATCTACCAGAAGAAGGTGGCGGAGATCAGGGACCGGCAGGCCATCTCGCAGGAGAACGCGGGCTACAAGGTGGAGCGGTTGGAGCAGATCTCTGTGCGGGCGGAGCGCAAAGCCGCAGAGAAGGCAGCGCGTGCGGCAGCAGACAAAGCTCGTTTCGACAAGTATGCGCAGAGAAGATAGGGCGCTGCGAGCGCATCCACGCCTGTGATAGCCGGACCGGACCGGTGCCGGTCGTCTCGTGTCGATACCTGCACACGCATACTCACACACCTTCTTCGGGCGGGTTGTGGCCTGTGCCGTCGTGCTTCTCGTTCTCGGGGGTTCTCGGAGAGATTTGAAATATGAAAAAACGTCGGGCTTTTTCTTTACGTTGACGGAGGTTCGGAGCTGTCCGACTTCTAATGGAGGAGGTCCAAGTCGCGGCCATGACACGCTCCAGTCTCTAGCTAGCGCCTGCATGCTCTGTCTGTGAACGGAGGCGAGACGAACGTGGAACGAAGACTTCGATTCGAACATCGCGGAAGATCCAAGAACATCGTCGGTGGAGGAGCAACGAGAGACGTTTGGTAACTGGCACCCGGCCACGCCCTCAACACGTGCTCGAGTTCAACAGCCATCTTACCACGAGCGGAGAAATCGATCTCGAGGTCTCGGGGTGGTTCGGCCCGGTTGTAGGACGGACGCTGCCGCGCTCGCAACTACATTGTAGTCTTTCACGAAGCCGCGACGGCTTCCCTAGTCTCCACAGTACATGCAATCGCTGCTCCGCTCCCGCTACCCCTCGACCTGCGAGCCTGCTGAGGATCCCGCCATCGCAAACATCGTGGACACCGCCCGTTACCCAATTCATGAGCTCGACGGCACACAGGCAGCGGCCACAATCGCAAAGGCGCGAGCGGCGTGGGAGACGTATGGAGAGGTATCCTTGCCTGGTTTCATACGCGCGGACGTGCGAGCGCTCCTTGCCGACGAAGTGTCCGGCCTGCCGGCGCACAACCGCCGGTACACCGCGCCCTACCTGGCGAGGAAGAGCCTCGGCAGCAACGCAAGCCTCGACCCGGAACACCCGCTCAGGAGGTTGTTTCAGAGCGACATCCATGCCGTCGCCGGCGACCAAATACCAAACGCCACGCTGTTGAGGCGAGTCTACGACTCGCCCGCGGTGGCCGCCTTTTTTGCACGCGTGATTAGGCGCGGCCGCCTCTACCACTATGCCGACGGCTTGCAGCAGCTGAATGTGATGTATCTGCTCGATCGTGGTGGCAGGTTGCTCTTTCTACCTCTGCCCCTCT